TCGCTTTCATAACTTCATCACAAAGGACTGCATTCGACAGATTTTCTCCATGCATGCTTGCATTCTGCCACAAATACAAAGGCATTAGACACGAAGATGCCGATCCCCAATGTCAACCGTTTCCTGCATGAATGGTAACGCACAAGAAATGTGAAATGGCATCACATGGAGGAGGAGAGTGAAGTTTATTCAAAATGAAACCACTAGGCGTCTTAAGCAAGTACATTGCTGTTGAGGGCAAGGGGAGAATGTTGGACAGATGCATTGACAGGAATCGGAAAAACCGTAGTTGCAGAAAGAGTTGTCCAGTGAAGACAAGCAATTAGTTAAAACATTGAAGGTGGAAAGAGTCGAAGTTGTGGCTGATTCTCACTAAGTAAAGAAAAGGTCTAGGCAAGCACTGCTACCATGCACACAACGAGGGCTGCTGCGATTGCAGTATTCGCAATGGTGTGAGAAGTGAGAGGCGATGCAGTGGAAGTTGAAACACTTGTGGTCATTCCTGTTATATCTGCTTCTCCTACGCAAAGAAAAACACTTCCTCTAGCGCCAATCGTAAAGCTTAACGGTGCGGAAAGAGAGATTAGGATCTTGACGTGGGGAAACAAGCAATTGCGACTCACCATCCCTTAGCATTTTGATTGCAGTGCGGTGCTCCATTAATTCATATGCACCGATAGATGATGTCAGAAGCACGGAGTACTGAGTGTCGGGTTGTAGCCCGTCAAAAGTGATTGATCCAACCGAGAATTCAGCCTCTTCTTCAAATCTGGGTTCAGCGGCACCATTTGGTGTGGCTAATAAATAAACAGTGTTTGGAACGAGACCCCGCACCTTGTGTTCATCCCAGCTAAGCTGGATGGACCGAGCGCCTACGCGGCTCCATCTATAGAATTGCGGAAGAGACGGTATTGTGGGCATTTTGGTGGTTTTAATCGCTCCAGTCGACACGGTCGTGATGGTCCCTTTGGTACTTTCCGTCGGTTCGGTCACTTCTGTCGATTCCAGTGTTGTCAACGTTGTTCCTAAAAGAATAGGCTAACATGGTCCTAGTAACAATCTTAACTTGCCACGGATGCGCCCAAAAGTTGTCCTAACAACATTCAAACAACACCATCATGCCTGCTCCTCCCACATGCACCCTCTCATCCATCTCCCTTCACAGTCTGAGTGTTTGTGCGCACTGAACCCCAAAATGGCCTTCTGCTCTACAATAGCACTTGTGTGAATGGAGTGGATAGACGAAAGTCCCAACTCATGACGCCCTTTACAGCAGATGCTGCCTAAAATCGTCCTAGTAGAAGTACATGGACTATCACATGCATTGGGACACATTTTAATGAGAACAGGAGTGAAGAAAGGGTACCTTACCGTCATCAGCATTGGTTTCACTCCCCAAAGCAGAGCTTGCCAAGAACATGAGGCAGAAGAGATGTACCATTGCCACTCCGCAGATGCCTGACTAGCACATCCCACTGAGCATTTATGAGCAATTATACTCTCCAGTCGTAGCAACCAAACAGATCCACCTTCTTCACCTGCAAGGCTACAAAAGTGCGTGGCCTCATTCCTCCTACCAGCACTGCAGTGCAAAGAGAACTGTGAAACATCTACTACGCTAAAACCGTGCATCATTTCATGCCTTCACATTCACCAACCCGGACCGCCTTATGAGGGCACGGCAACTAGACAAAGAAAACAGTCCTTTCAGTCTGAGTAAAATGTTAACTTTTGAAGGCGTATGGGGGAAGGGAAGGAGAGAAAAGTGATTCTTTTTTCGTTTTCTGAAAATCATGAAGCACCTCGAATGGGTAATCCACCTCTTTCTTAATCGCTCGGTCTTCGCACGACCACCAACGAAGTTGGGAGCACGACAATTAGGCTGGATTTGGAACGGAGGCCAAGGTAACGCGTAGTTTGCTAAAGCCCTCATCGTTACAGTCCATGTCTGTGTCTGTGGGGTCTGTGTTCTGTCATGTTGCTATGGTGAAAGTATGTGAATAATTGTTCAAATAAACAAAAAGGTTGACTGCCTCGTTTAAACGAAACGGGGAACAGGATGCACTCCTTTTTCCTGGCACTTTCTCGATTACTTCATCATGCATATGACATATGTTCGTCACCGACTGTGGGCCGTTCCATAGCACTATAGTTAACACCACCTTGACCCTACGCTTGTGCGAAGGTTGGGGTGATGTCTACAGTGCAAGCGCCAGTCTTTAGTCTACACACCATCACTTAAGGAGTTAATGCTTCAAGGCAAAACTTTCCGTCTAGAAAACTCCGAAAGGCACGAACAGAGAAGTCGAACAATTAATGGAACAATTTGATGCATAGCAGAACATTAGTGAGTCAGGAAGACAAAACTTTTAATCTGGTTATAAATGTAGGAGTGGCGGTGAAGCGCCTCAATACTCCCTTTTGGGTGCTGAGCTAAGGCTGCAACTACTTTCCATCCTCACGCACAGTCATTCCCACTTCCTTCTAAATCATTGTTTTTTTCAGCTCCATCGCAAATCAACAGATATGCGCCCACCGAATCCTGCTTGGAATTCCATGGAATGACTCTCAAAACCATTCCTTCATTTTCCTCCCCACCCACAGCACTACGACCATTAATCACTCCCCTTTATCAACACGACTACAAATGCACAGGAAACGAGTAATCTACTTCCCTGCAATAATACTACATCCTGCCTTCCAAACCCAGTACCAGGAGCACCTCAGCGCACCATATCAAAGCAGACTTTCTGCTATTCGCAATTCATCCCTGCCTTCCCAGAGAATCGAATTTACCAATGATCGATCTCTTTGTTGAAAGGATGAGATTTCAAAAAGGCCAAAGGGAATCCAAATCTAACAAGAATAGAAAAGCTGGGCGAATAGTAGTAACTTTAACAAAAAGGCGCAGTAAAAGGAGAAATCTGTGCATACGTCTTCACGAAAGGTAGTAGTGATTTATCGGTAGGATATCCCAATTTTAAAAAAAGACATGCAGACATTGAATTAAGAACTCTACTATAAAGTTTGTAATGAAAAGAGGAAGAACTTTAAAAGAGTGCACAACTCAGAAACAAGCAACAGTTCAAATCATAAAAGAAAGAGCTGACATAGGATTACGATCCACCAACCAAATTTTGATACAAGTCTAGGACAGCGAGCTGCCAATCGTCAGAATCGCATGGCGTCCACGATGTCTGAAGATACACTGCATTAAACCGCAGGTGTTTCAATAAATCAAAGCCCACAAAGCGCGACTTTATACTCAACAGCTCTTGGAGACATAAAAATGAAAAAAAACTGCGATCTAAAGAAATAAAATAGATTATAAAAGTGGAGGGAAGCAAGGGATATGCATCAAACACAGTAACGCCATAAAAGAGCTCACTTTATTAGCTAGCATCAATTTACTAGCTGATTCCAATACAATGATTGAGAACTGAAAGGATATGCAAATCCCAAAGTCATGCACTAAATGCTCAAGACCACCATTCACAGTTGACCTTGTTTCACCAGAACGAAATCTATGCATACGTCTTGTGAGGCTAAAATCTATGCACATTATTCCTACGCCTGCATGAGAAACTATTTTAACGCCAAACCTCAACTTCTCTGTATTACTTTGGTTCAAATTTTTCGAGATTTTGCGGCGCCACGTCATCCCCACTGAATGACGTTTTCGCCAGGACAAGCTCATAGGACACAAATTCTATCAACTATCATCCCAGATAGAAAATACAGTTTCTGGCTTGAGAAATCACATAAACCAGTCATCGATAATTCAACCGCTGAACCATGAATAGAAAACCCGTCGCCTTACTTAGAACTAAGGCAAGATTGGTCTTCAAATACTCATCTCGGGTTCCTAAAACAAGATTCTCCTCTGTATGCAGTGAACTCTGCTTAAACGTGTCGAACGCTGAATCCCTCGTAATGTTAGTTATCTCCACTTTAAAAAAAGCAGTCTCGCAATCCCCATACACATTAAAATGTCAACCAGCGGTCCGAAGTGGTTCCAAAAAGTAGAATCATCAGATGCCCAAACCCACACTCCAATAGTTTTATCTCAGATTAAAGACGCTCAAACAGCCTACGCTACTTCTGTAGTATACAGTTAGTAAGGCCCTAAATAACAGCATGTTCTTTTAAAAAACAATGGCAAGTTTGCATGACTTCAACAAAGCGCTTAAAAGAGCGGAACTCCTTCAAGACAACTAAGAAGACATTGGCGATAACCACGCACGATGCTCTCATTGAGCATTAAATCAACTTCCCAAAAATGTCCAACCGCAATGTTTGCGATATGCACAAAACACTTACTTCATTTTATGCTTCCGCGCACAGAGTTATAGGGTGATGGACAGCAAGATAACAAAGAGGAGTAAGTCGAGCACATCATTGAATCAGAATCCACTGAACAATCCCTAAACGTCAATTCAACAATGACAAGACGGGCTATATTGGTGCACGACCTTCAAAAGATTTAGACAGGATGAAACAAGCATTGAGATAAATGTTGTTTTCATGTTCAATTATGGGTTTGCAATAATGCTTGATGAATTACGTGCTTCTTTCTCGCTTGCCCAATATATGTTATTTGTTAACTGAATATGTCGGTGAAATGTGCTACATCTTTAATCCAATTTAAAATTTTTCATTTGGACCTACACAAGCAATTGTTGCAACATATCTGCTATTTTTGTACTTTCATCATCGTCTTTCACATTCTGTTTAGAATTCTTTCGAGCTCAAATTGAGTCCACTTTAATTTACTTCCCTGATGGGCCATTTTAGACCATGATTTCCACACGGTTCTGGATCCGTTAGCAAATAACGCAGTTTACTTTGCCCCTGTGGGGCATTATTTTGGGGCTGGTGTCTAAATTCTGGTGATTTGTGCCTTGGTCAATACACTATTTAGGAGCTATGCGTTACCATGACATAGGCGCTCTAATAGCTCGGATTTAGCGCCTTAAATGATAAAATTTGAGTTATCCAATTTTGATTTCCTTTACTAAGTAACTGTCGCGACCGTTTTATTTGACAACTTTTCTAAATGCTAACACCGATCTTGTGTGAACCCTGTATCGTCCCGAGGCTCCAAATGGGGTATTAGAAGACATAAGTGAGGTTGAATACATGTATTTCGAAAAAAATAGGAGAAATGGGGAATTGAGCGTGGCCCGAAGGCCAGCCCACGTGTACTGGACCTAGACAAGTTCTAAAGTGACCGCCAAACGTCAGACAGTCACATAAACAAAGCATTACAGACCCAATATGCACATCCATCGTTTTTATTTCGGCTATGGTTTCCATTTTCTTTTGACATGTTAGCGTCTAAGCTTTCCTCAATACCTCTTCTAGTTGATGTGAAGCTTCCTTCCATCCGCAGTGCATTGCCTCCTCTCCGCCATTATCTCAATCTCATGCTGATGGCATTCGCCTATCCCAGCAAGTTTTGATTGTTTGTAAGTATTCGATCATCAATGTAGTTGTTAGATCTGCATCAATGGCGTTTTAGTTCAGTTATTGAGGTGTCGATGAACCTTGTCTACTTCATTCTTTTTGACTGAGGTGACCAAGTCACGCCTAAATTTTGGTGGATGCTTTATATGCTAATAGCTTTGTGCAGTTTGCTGATTTTATTGGGATTAGTTGTGATCCCAAGGTAACTATTTGCTAGAATTTTGTTAATTACTTCACATATGCCACCTAATTATGAGTAGTTTGTAGCGGGACCATTAATTCGTGATGTTTCCGCACTGTTTCTATATCTTGTTATGTTTTTGCTTTTGTCGTAACTACTAATTCCTTCTTTATCATTATGAACTTGTTAAGCGACCCTGCATCTTTGTTCTCCCTGCGCCACAATGTAGCTAAACTAATTCACGGGTCATCATGTGCTGCTTCTTGTGCAGCGTCCTTATGGCTCCATGGGGAGCTGACTAAACTTGGACAAATTTTTAATCCCGAATTGCCTCCAACTTATCTGTTTGGGGCATCAAAGGTGTGAGATAAGTTCCCCTATTCTCATATCCACTTTCCAGTACGTGGCACATAGCTATCTCAAAGAGGAATGACTGCGTGTCTAGCATTTTGCACCCGCGATAGTAGCAGCATGTACTGTTTCTTAATGAAGCTAATGCCATTCATTGCGTCCTATTTGGGGATTCCGTCAAACGCTCTTGTGAGTGGCCATCTGTTCAACTCATTGCCCTGGAGCTAAATGGACATCCCAGTAAGTATTTGACTGGAGTTGTAGCTTCCCTTGTGGTCATGCTTTGGTGCTTTTATGATATTTCGGTGGAACGTTTATGATTTTTTTTACAAATCCAGATAAGTCTCATGCTCTCTCCCTTTACCTACGAATATTTGTTAGGTGTTTATCACTGCATCAATCAGTGTGTATGTTCAGACACGATATCACCTCTCGCTGGGTCCCGACTTCCTTCTAAGTACAAACGATTCTGCACCTAAAACGTAAGTACAGCCGAGCCAGAACTTCTTGGTGCATTAACTTACAATTTAGAGGGAATTGACATTATTTTACTCCCCAACTTTGACGCTGGCCGAGGTAATTAGGTCTCTTCAGCTCATCTTAACATCGCCAACAATTAGCGTCTGGAGAGAACGAGTGGTTGGTAGGCATTTATAAATGCAAACATTTTTCGTTGTGCATCTTTTGTAATGGCACCTTCCCTTCTTGTGGCACTGCCATTTAAGTTGTTCACTTGTTATAACATCAAAGCCTTTTTTAACCAACAAACTATCTGGCCTCGATATACGGAATTAGAAATGTTCTTTTGACTAGACTTAGTTTGTCTTTCTTTCTCTGAAGTAAGGCGGGTGTGAGTGGTACCTTGACGGTTTGTCATACCTCCAGTCTCACTTATACCCGAAGCCGAACAAGCAAGGTAACTTTTGAGATCAAAAGGACCATATCAGGAGATTCATCTTAGAAAACTCAACGGACGACAAAAGAATGCTCAATTCAGGGTGACGAGGTGAAGTGTTGCGCAGAAGCCGCCAGATTGTAAGCACTTTGGCGTTAGCTAATGATGGAAACTCCACCTCCATTCTCTGGGAAGCAGTGAGTCGAACCTTACAAATCACTTCGCCTAACAATGCAACCAGAAGTAATTGGACCGTCAAAAGCTGCCGTCTCGTGGTGAGTGGATTTACCCTTCTACGAAATGCGTTTGCTTAACGTCTTTTACAAAATGAATTTAGCGACCAAATCCATCTGTCCAACCCCAACCTTTGCAGTCACCTTCAATCTTCTCCTCTCCAACTTCGAGCAAACTGCCTTTCCGAAAGTCTCAGTGTTCGTGTGCAGAGGTGAGGAGGTGACAGTCCAATCGAATTGTGAGGCTGATAGGTACCCTCTGACAGTGGATGTGGACAAAAACAAGTCTTCACCTTTTGGCTCATGATAATTGTTGGCTTTCAGAGTTGCCTTCAGTAAGCAGCATCACGTATCTTCCGTGTCATTTTAGGTACTGCAAACCTTTTATCCACCAAAGTTGCCTCACAATGAGACGACTTTCAAAAGTGATGATAAACATGAATTCCCTCGTGCATTTCTAAAGAGTTCCATTACAAAAGGTCATCTGTCAGACAAGATTTAAAACATTTGGCGGCCATCCTCAAGCTGGACTGATGGGACATTAACTGTCGCTGCACTCCGTGAGGAGCGGTGGAATGGCTATCAGAAACCGAAAATTGTTTAGCAGTTTCGGATTTGGATTAAAAATGGCGAGTTTACAGCTAAATTATTCGCCTGTTATTGGAAAGAGGAAGACGACAAGGGACGACAATATGTGTTGTGAGATCACATAAAACTATGCCACACAAAAAAATGAGGGAAACAAACAAAAAAACAGCTTTCAGTATATCAAATGGAATAAGAGGTTTCACAACTCTTGGATTTCACTAACCATAATTTTGTCACAACCGTCGAAAATTCACATTCACCACACACAAATGAGGCTTACTTAGATAAGGTGGGAAAGTCATGCCTATTTTTTCGTCTAGACTACGACTTTTTTCACTTTTTGCTTCACTTCTCCTTTACATTGACGCATTTGTTAAGGAGAACATCAGCCTCTTCGGCCTCCTCTTCGTCCACCTTCTCTTCCTTTTGCCTTTCCTCTTTCTGCTCCGTGCTCTCTGCATCGGCCACATTCTTGTCGATCAAACAGGTAATCGGAAACTCAACCGCCTTTACTACGTCCGAATTCTTTGCTTCCCTTAAAGATGGGTGTTCATTCGATGGTGTTTGCCTTTCTCTACTCATGCATCCAAAGAAGTCCCTCCGTCCTTCCAGTTTTCCGGCAAGCCACAATCGGTGCATGAGGTACGAGACCGCAGTGCTCACCATCAAACTACCCAACATAGCGATTGTCTTCACTGGTGCTCGCTGTAATCCTGCCTCGTAGTCATAGCCAGGGTAGTGAAAGAGTACCGGTAAGTTAAACGCCTTTTCTCCCGAGGTAAGGCGCAGAAATAGACCTAAATGACACGAAAGTGGAACCTTAATTTCTCCTCTAACCTAGTAAGCTAACTTGTTAAGAGTTAACTCACCTACAAGGAAGCCAGCGAATGAGCCATAGGTGTTGGTGAAGGGGATAAACAGAACTGATATAAGTTGAGGAAAGAGTATGACATAGACAAGATCGGAGGATAAAAACCACAAATCGTATATGGATTCAATCATGATACCGAGGAGACAAGCGAGACTCCCAACAGCAAGAATACTGCCTTTCATGGCCAAGAGAATGCAACGCTCAGAGGCAGAGGGGAACAAGGGCTTCACTACATTGTGTGCAAACATTGAGGCGGCGGAAAAGACGGAGGAGTCGGCAGAAGACATGACAGCGGCTGATACAGCTCCAAGACCGACAAAAGAAATTGCTGGAGGACAGAGATACTGCAGTACCAATGGCAGCACCAGCTTCCTTTCTGATGGAATTATGATATTGTCTACGGTTCTGTTGTATTCTGTTGCCGACCAGTCTGTACTGGCGGCTACAGCCCCAATCAAAATTGGTGGAATTGCCATGATTAGGCATCCAATTGATGCCATGTAGCTGAGCATTTGAGCTCCACGGGCTGTTCTTGCAGAAAGAACCCGCTGGAAGTACACTTGCCAGGGGATGCCACCGAGGATGAGCATTAGTAGGTTATCCACATATTGTGCTGCATCGTTGGCTGACAAAGAACCGATCCAGCGTGTCGAATTGATCGTGATTGAGTGTACGGCTTGATTAGTCATTGCAAACGGAATCGAGAGCCACTTTAAAGCAAAAATGCGGCTCAACTCACTTTGCAAAATTAATCGAGAAAATCAAATGGAGAGGAAGTATCACCAAATAATAACTGAAAAAGCAAAAGTTTTGCTTCGTCTCAAAGCCTTTTAAGGAGTTGTGAACCAGCTTACCAGACCAACAAAAATGCAGAAGAGTTGAACCACGTCAGTGTAGGCCACAGCGTAGAGGCCTCCGAACAGTGTGTAGAGCATGGCAATACAGGCTGACACAATGACTGAAATGGTCCCGTCGATCCCAATCACTACGGCTATTGTAGCTCCTGTCCGGTTTCAAATGTAAGTGATTAATGTAGCATTATTGTAATCGACAAAATGTGAAGAGTTGGAAGCAAAGTGGCATACCTAAGGCAGCAAGAATAGCAGCGGACCAAAAGATTTCACCCAAAAGGGCTGGAATAAAGAGGAGACCACACATGCGCTCGCCATACTTTGCCTGCAGTGGATCCAACATTGTCACGTATCCCAAAGAGCGCATTTTGTTGGCAAAAAACATTCCACCTGTATTTTACACATTCGGTTAAAATGAGGCTAATGGATTTGACTAGCAAAACAACAGTTTGGCTAATTGAGAAAATTTTTTGCAAGGAATTTATACTTAGTTGCATACATTGCTTCCAAGCCGAGTCGTAACGGTTTGCTTATTTTACACCTTTGACAATTGCTCGTATTAAATCATAGTGTCGGTAAGACCAATAACTTCGCCATCAAGTGTGCTTTAACGTAAGGCAAGCAGACCCAATCAATACGATCAACAACACAGTCAACCCACCAATCACAAGGCTGAGCGCATAACCAATGGGAGCCTGACAGAGGAGGAGACCTTGTAGTGGATCGTAGACTGCCTCTGCTGTACCGTTGATGTATCCTCCACCCACCCACGTAGCTTGCACGGAACCATGGAGAAGAGAGTAATGTTACTTGGCTATGGGAATGCCACTTTAATCATTGTTGTAGCCTCAGTGTCCCACATCTAATTGTTTTTTATAAAATCTCGTTTGTCAAAGTACCTAACGTGAACAACTTTGTTATAGCATTTACTCTCTGCTTGATGGTGGCTTATTTGGAAATGTTTGTGTACCATGAAAACGCGTTAAGACTTCGAGAAAAATGGAATTGGGCAAAGGGAAGAGGCTAACACAATCACCTTGTCCTCTTCTTACATAAACTTGAGAGGGGCTTTTTACTAGTACTAGCCACCGTGCTTTAATGCTTGAATGCTTAATCAAATAAGGTAATGGTTTAAATTTTACGCATCCTCTTAATCCTTTACTTTGGAAATCTGGGATCTACGATACGGAACTACTCTTCGGTCAAATTGTTTCTCACATCTACTACATGTAGACTGTTGACTTTGGAGACCAGAGCATCCTCACCATATGAGATGCCATCGTACATTCGTCCCTCCTTCCTCAGCAACCAGTGAAGAAGTGATTGCCATATTTGAATGCCGCTGCATAAAAGTGCGGCCTAAACTACGAGTGAATGGTAAATGTTGAATGCTGTTTTGTCTGTAGCCGATACAATGAGATTACACAGCGCGAATGAGTGCAGCTTTGTCTATCCTGATTCAAACAAAAATGGATGCACAAAGAATACTGTCAGCGTGCCTTTAAATTTTTAGTTGATTTATTTAGAAAAAAAAAGAACTTCACGCTCACCAGTCATCGTAAAGACTCCTACAAAGAGGCCGATGTCTCTTCCCGCCAGCATAACATCCTCCGAATCGGTCATTCCACCCTCTCCCGGTGGCTCAGCATTCTGTGGGTTTCGTGTCACCGATGTTGGTTTCTTTGACTTTCGAGCGGCCCAGATACCCACACCGAGGATGAATAGGTAGAAGCAGATGATGCCGACTACCCCTGGGATGTTCACTGACACCATCTTGGGCTACCTTTTACTTCAAACTCTTATTTTTTCCCAGGTTGTCGCTATGATACTATGAACAGAAAATGAAGGAACAACTTCAATAGAAAGCAAAAAAATGCTATGTTTCATGGATATGCGACAATGCAGTCATAGAATCAGTCCATTTCTCGTAAATGTTAGATAATTGAGGCTAAGAATGACACTTCAAGCCGTGTGGCGATGCTTCATTATGCGTGCTAGGCTCGCAGATGTGGTATCAGAGTTCTGTCCAGTCGCTGCAGTCACCGTAGCGATGGACAATAACGTTGATTGTGGATGAAGACGGATATTTGATAAACGAACCAGTACTGTCTTCTTCTACCAGTAGAGCAAAGTGATGGAAAGTTTAGCAAGACAGGCATTGAGAAAATGGCGCAGCGAACCTGTTTGAAGGGCTGTCAGTGAGGCGTTTGCTCGTGATGACCACACTTGGCGCCCCACATCATAACAGTGGTTTTCTCCCAAATCTATCTATCAATTTATAAAATGGTAACGGATTGCCTACACATCGTTTAGCAATCCATTATATCGTGAAAATACCAAATGAGACGAAATCTGAAGCAGAAATAGTAGCAATTTAGAATTAATGGCACATTTTAGTGGATCGTCCACCCGCTTGCGCATTACGGTAGGCAGCACATGAAGTACAGTGTCAAAAATGCGACTGTGATGCACACCAAATCTCTCAAATCTCGTACAAAAATAAGTAACGACGTTTTACAGTCAATGGACTTAGTGAAAGCAATGTTTCTGTAAAGCGAATGACTTAATGAATAACTTGTTCTGGCTTACAGCAGCAGTTGTCAGTCTACTCCCCTCTAAGATAGCAGTAGGGCCCTCTTTTTTAAACATGCATTCAAGGGAGTGTTGATAAGCCCCTCTGAGACGTATACAAAGGAAAGGAGAGGTGGAATTGTGAACATGGCTTCTTTCATCACCTTATCATAAAACTGATAAGGAAGTCAAAACTAGTTACAGTTCTTCTGGTTAGCACTCTTAAGCGGCACACTGTAAACAGTCTATGGGTGCAAGTGAGGTCACGGGTAGGCTCAAGGCCTAGCCGCCCAATAATCGTGAGCAAGAAACAACTTCAACAAATCTATAAGAAAGTAAGACCTCCCTACGAACCAGCATAATTTACTAAGCACCTAAAAAATAGAAACGGAAGACATCAGAAACAGAAGGTAGAACCAAGACTAGAACACGAAAACAACGTGTTAAGTGTGTATTCCATTTACAGACATGTAGGTAACCGGTTTGCAAGAAAAGGACCAGCTCACCAACGCTTACAGTCACAGATATCTGCTTGACTTGAAGCCTCGGTCAGAGACCATTTTATACGGACACGCTGTGAGCATGACGATGAACCAATAGGAATGCGCCATATGAGATTGAACTGCTGGACACCCCCGAGAGGGTGCCATGACTTGTATTGTAGCGAGATGAGGTCAAGGTTATAGAAAGTCAGTAACCATTTTGGATTATCACGGAACAAACACTGTGATTTAGTAAAATAGTCCTTTCAGCTAACACGGGATGTTGAATTGCACAGGCGCCTAATGCAAAATTCGTAAACGTAAAATGGTTCTTCTAAATGATTTGCGCTAGCAAATTCTGCTTATCTGGACAATCGCCTATATTTAGTTAAGTGGGAAGCAAAAATGCGTCATTGAGAGGAAGTGTCTGATGCAGGCGAATGACCCTGAAATGACTTACAAAAGGAGGGTTTCAAAACCACCTAAAAGCCAAGAAAACGGTTTAACCTTGATGGACATCCAAACGACTTCAGATCGTGTGATAGGAACAAGAGGCAAATGGTGTGGAGGTTTGTATTTAACACACAATACAAGTGGACGAGTTGAGGACTTCGTAATGCGTAACTATTTATAAATTCGACTGTCTCCTTCTTTTGGCAGTATCAGAGGAAGTAGGAGGTTATCCGGACCCTCGACCCGACTACCATGGTACTGCTACAAAGGGATTGACAAAGTTTGGCTTCACGATTGAGCCGAAGAATTGCCTTTACTGCCATGATGGCTGGTTGATTTCCCACTGCTGAAAAAAATGCCACTATTATCAGTTACAAAGGCCTCTTTTGTCATCGCTTCCTTCCTTTGGATAGCCAAAGAAAAATCCATTTTTTTTACCAAAAGCGCAATGTTTTGGGATGGTTTGTCTTTGGTCGGTTTTCTGCCAATTAGCATTTGAACAATCGGCGAGCTGCAGAAGCACCACACAAAACACAAGTAGCGAAGCCTTTTGGAAGTGGAATGGTGTACCAACGCAACAATTCTATCAACGTGATCGTCCAGTCGATCCTCTCGGCTAGAGAGTAAACAATGGTTTTGTCTTTCGGTTTAAAAACCACTGAAATCACTCATCAATAAGGATAGAACTGCCAGAGAGCCGGCCAGTAGACTTCTTTTAGAATACAGAGAGTGACAACTCTCAGTTGCCATGGCTCCGTTTGATATGACACCCAATGACTGACTCGTTCACCCAAGCATCTCCAATGGTGAGGATTTTGATGAGCGAGGCGTAGGGATAAGAGAGGACAAACAAATGGAATGTGGTGCTCGTGGAGCATGTGGACGACCCGTTGCGAATACAAAAGCCATTGCCTAACTTCCTTCACATTTTTATTCACATTCCCATCAGTAATGTCAAGACTACCTAATCGGAGGAAATTCACCCTTGGAGAATCCAGCAAGAAAGGCCTTGAGCTACGACCAGCAGCTACAAAGTCGTGTCAGTTCAAAACGTGCTGATGGTAGAGGCAAACTTATACTCTGACCACCTCTTTCGTCTATGCTGGTGATAATTCGAATGTTTTCCTTTCCGCAGGAAATAAGAGGGCACCAGATAAGCTGACATAAAAGTTATGACTTTCTCCATAAATTCGTGGGAAATCAAAAACAAGCCGACCTATAAATTACTTTCCAAAGTCGACCTTGAGTACTTTTACCCACTTTGGGACAACGCTTTTGCACCTTTTTAGCTAGTCATTCTAAAACTCCTTTTCAGTTCATATGACTTTCATTTGACAAAGCAGGTTATGACGCTTCTATCATGTAAGTTTGCACACTCCACCAGCCAGAAATTTTTCCTTCCAGGAATGAAATTTGCCCCAGTCTATGTTGTGCCAGCATTGCCTTTTGCCGTCTAAAATCACGTTTTATTTTGCCTCAGGGCAAGCCAGTCTAAAAAATTTTAGTAGCCTTTTGCAGCCACCTTGAAATTGTCCACTTTTATCACTTGTAAGGAAAAATGAGGGCTGTACACGACAATTCATTACTTTTTCGACGAGTATCTGTAGTGGACAAATTCCCTTATGTCGGTTCTTTTTTTAACCTCCAAAATAGGTAAATTGGGTTTTGAGGGTCATAAGTAGCAGTCCGATACGGAAATTGGCGAAATGAAATGAAAAACTGCGGTCTGGTCTCCAAAAGTCTCCACTAGTTGCGTTCCTTTCAAGGTAAAAATCATGAAAATATGTACGGAGAAGTAACCGACATAACTTAAGCGAACAGCCCTTACCAGTCCCTAAAAAAATTTGGCTCCATTTCTAAAGAAAGTATTTCGTTGATGGACAATGCCCTCCTCCAGTGACAGCGGATTTTGGATGTTTCGACGGCTGCAAAACCCAAAAGGTTGCCGCCCATTAAAAGGCTTTCCGTGAGGAGGAATGGCGACTTTTTGTGAAAATGTCAAAGCACAAAAAAACGCAAATGCTTAGGATGGCAACAAAGGGGAACCACTCGACTCTACTAGGCGCTAGGGCAGGGCATATACAGGCAGCTTACCTAAGAGCCACATTAATAATGGGACAGGAGGTGGGTTTATGGTCAATAATATAAGAGGAATGTTTAACTTTCGGCATAAATAGCACTACATGTGATAAAGAGGAGTAAGAGGGTGTGCAAGGGCGATGCCTTTTACAAAATCGTCTTCAAGCATCCTACAATTCTGCACTACTTACGATTTGAGTACGGCCCAAACGCAAGCCCAGACGACTGCTCTGCTCAAGTCGGCCGAAACGAAACGCACATCGCATCGCCAACATGACGCTAGTGGCCAATGAGGGCACCTCAGCCCAGCTCAGAGGACGAATCAAATTACACTTGGAGGGGTTTAATCGAAGTCGAATACGAGTGAACGAACGGAGGAGGGAGGCAAGCCAGGCATTTCAGACTCACTTGAAGTCAGCATACAACATCACAGCTCAAAACATTGACACTGTTCTACGTAAGGGCTAAAGGCCGAGGCAAAATAATCCCCTCTCTTCAACGTTAAACACCAACTAAAAGCAGCATTTGAAGTGGGAATTATTCGCTTTTATTTTGCAGTTTTGACCGTGTTAACATGGAAAGCAGTTGTAGGAAAGTAGTGCTTCTCAAGGACGTAGTTTTATCTCTGTGTCTTCTTCTGACTGCCAAAATGTGCTGATTTGGGTTGATGAGGTTAACTCATACAAGTCTAGCTTGCCTGCTTTAGTAGCTTCCTTTTGAGGATAATTAAGTTCCCTCCGCATTCAAGGCCACTCCCTTAGCCGCATTTGTGGCGCCCAACCAACTGCCTTTTAACCTCTTCCATGAAATTACTTTTGGCTTAATTAGTAGTAAGGTAAAGAAAAACACTCCATTTTCACGAGCGCCTACAGAGTGTTGTGTTATGTCTAGCAGTTCACCAGTCCTTCTGTGCATCAAGTGTGGAGTCCTACCTCACTTCAACCACTTCAATAAGGTCTTGAAGTAGAAATCAAAGCATCCCTTCTGTGGGGAAAACGGTTCCATGGTGGAAAGCTAACGCTTTCTTCAGCGTGGATTTTGGTTCGTAGAGCGTTGGTGATTTACCTTAGTGCTTCATAACGCCTTTTATTTTGTAGAAAGCACTTACCAGAACCAGTGCAAGAAGATGTTTTTGTCTTCCTCCACAGAAGCCAATTATAATGACAGAGATCTTTCACTATCATGTCA